GGGGGGGGGGGGCGACAGACGCCTGGGCTCGGAGGCCACGTCCCCCCTCCAGAACAGCTGGCGCCTCCCTTCCACCTTGCAGGGGAGGGCCCTCATCCACAACTCGCCCGCAGACCCCACGCCAGACCCTGCCCCATACGGTCCCCTTTCAAGGGAAATCTTAAAGCCGTTGCCTGCGCCCGGCGGGGAGAGACCAATACAGGCCAACGAACAGCCGTGGGGGCGGGGGCCGCACAAAGGCGGGGAGGGCCTCCCACCAGCGAAGGGACGAAGGGGGCGAGGATTAGGGGTGTGGACGTCACGATGTAACAGGTGGGTCTTAAGACGGTGTCTGGCGAGTGGGCCTGCGCACCGGAAGGAGGCCAGCGCATCCAGATGCCCTCCCGCCCGATTGCGGACCCGGGTGTCCTTCAGCCGTGCTCGGGGTCCTCTCTGCCCTCACACTGCTCACCCTAATTCCCCCCGGACTCCCAGGCCACTCGCTACTCGGGGTCCTCAGCCCTCACCAAACCCCGCTGCTTTCTGGTCCCCTTGGGGGCATCTTTGCGGTGCGGCCAACTTCATCACGCACCGCCCTGGGGCTGGGCGACTCCACAAGTCTCTGGTCGTCCCCCTGGGGAGCTCCCCGCACTGCGGTGGTGGGCGTAGTGACGTCGTGTGCTGCCGCGAAACCAGGCACCAGGCGTCCTCCCCGAAGACCCCTGCCATGGGCACCTCAGCGCCAGCACAGCGTGCCTTCCCAGCAGTCGCTGGAGCTGGGGAGGGAGGGGTACCCCACCTCCACAGTCATTTCCCTTGAAGGGACCGCAGCCCAGCACCTGCACTCCGCCCCGCAGCTCCCACCCACCCCAACCAGATCCAAGGAGACGCTTCTCCATCTTTCCCAAAACCACCTGCCAAAGGAGAAAGTCATAGTTGTCCCTAGCAACGGTAGAAAGGATGAAAACATCTGCCCGCACCCCCCCCTTCCGTTTCCATTGCACTTGTTAGCCTGGTCAGTTTCTCTGTTTCTCGAGGCAAATGATATTTTCCTTGGAATTAATGTAAGATTTGACATTTTTCAAAGAATTGATTCATTTCATTTCATTTTTAAATTACTAGCATATCTATGCTGGTATTGTTTCTGTACTTATTTTATTCTGTATTTTATTTGAATTTTTCTTTTTAGATATTTAAGTATTTTCGGAGGCCCGTCTTTCAGTTGTGTTGATGTTCTAGCTTTTCCCTTATCTCACTTATTTCTGTCTGCATCTGTTCCTCCCTTGGAGAGTCTTGGGGAATCTTTCGCTCTGTCTTATAGCAAATGCCTAGCTCATTTTTAAACCTTCCAATTTTCTGATAGATTATTTAAGCTACCCACATCCTTCTATGGGCTGCCTTAGCTGGATCTCACAAATTTGGTCATACAATGCGTTCGTTATCATTCAGGTCGAAATGACAATTTGTCTCTGATGATTTCCTTTTAAACCCATGGGTTATTTAATAACATTTACTTTCCAACAGTGTTTGTTTTATTTTAACCCTTTGTTACAGGTTCCCAGTTGCATTTGGTCATGGATTAAAGTGTGTTCAGTCAAGATCCTGGCAGAGTGCAGATATCATACTCGGAGTTACCTGGGGCAGAGGTGTGGTGGGAGGTCAGGAAATCCCAGGGCAGGTGGCCCTGCAGCCTTCCACCTGCAGGTGGGGGAGTTAGGGTGCACCAGCCACCCACCCACAGGAAGGGAGCAAGGGGACCAAACACCTTAGCCTGACCTGGTGTCACTTTGGCTGAGCCCTAGGGGAAACTGGAGCAGGGAGCTTGGAGCATCTGGGGTGATCCCCTAAAGAGTGGGATAAAGGGACTGAAGAGGAGAGCACACAGTTGGAGGCCTCGCCCCTCTGGGTCCTAATGCTGGTCCATGTCTATAAATGCTCTGCCTGTGCTCCCAGTGGCTGTGCTGGCTGTGTGGTGGGTACAGATTTCTGTATTTCTGCTAAATTAAGTCAACTTGAGCTCTTAATCTTTTATAAAATTGAAATCTTCAATTAGGGGCTGGCAATGTGATTCAGGGGTAGGGTATTTATTTGCCTAGTAGGTGCAAGGCCCTGGATATGATACCCAGCCCTGAAGAAGGAAAAAAGAAAGAAAGAAAGAAAAATATCTCCAGCTACAATCTTGGAATATCTGCCTCCCCACCCCCAGCCTGGGGGGCGGGGTTGCCGGATGTGCCACACTGGAGAGAGTCAAGTGATTTTGAGGTTGTGCATCAAGATTCTGTGACTTCCTCCTTAGAATACTTGTGTGTCCTTTGTCTGTGGTTTGAGGTTTTTACATTTTTTTTTTACTTTTAATTTGAGGATTATATATGAAGACCTCCACCCAGTTTCCTGAGGTTCATGTTTGCTAAATTTTTATATTAAATTTTTGTATCCTTTTTTTAAGTGTTTCTCTTTCAGACAAACCATGGTTGGAACCAAGTCTGCCATTTCTACCTTTAACTGTAATTTGATCCACTTACATTCACAGTGATGCTGGATGTCTAGGCTGACTTTTGCCACCTTATTAAGACTTCCACTTCCTCCATGCTATCGTCCTTATTTCTCATGGCATGCTGGGCTTTCTTCTGCCTACTCACACACTTTTATTTTTATTCTTATGGCAACTGCCCTGAATTTAAGACTCTTTTCTATTTCATTTACCCAGTGTATTAACCAGCTTTATGTTACCACCGTGAAATACCCAGGACAACTAACTCGGGAAGAAAAAGATCGATTCTGGCCCCTGGTTTTGAAGGTTCCAGTCCAAGACCCAGGGGCCCCATCAGGGTCACGGTGGCAGAAATGTGTGTTAGAGCAGACTGCTTATGTGACAAGCCAGAAAGCAAAGAGAAGGACGGAGACTGGGGTCCCCAGGAAGGCACGGCCCAGTGACATTAGGACCTCAGGGGAGGCCACCTCCTAAGTGTCTACCGCCTCCCAACAGTGCCACCCCGAGGATGAGGCCCCTAACACGGGACTCTGGAGGACAGTGAGCCCCCGCACCAGCACCCAGTGCCGGCCAGGGTCTGTTCTGCACACCTGCAGACCCACACGTGCTTCTGCTGGGCCACAGGCTCCTTGGGCGGGGCGCGGCCGACGGAAGAACCGTGGCGCTTCTCTTCTTTCCTTCAAGACAATCAGCACACCCTCTCAGGTGCTCCTCACTAACCTCCCATGCTCCATGCTTCCTGAAGCTTCTCCCACATTCTCACTTGTGAAATACAAAGATCTTCATGGGTCTCTAAAGCCTGTGTTCCCAAGAATATTTTCATCACCTTTCAGTCTGGCTGTATCTAGAGCTCTAGCTACAGAGTCGGCTTCCTTGGCACTTTAAAAAGACCCTTGGTGTGCTCCCCGTGTGCTGTGCAGAAGTCCAGTGTCCAGGGGCCTCGCGCTTTCAGGATTCTTCTGGAACTTTCTTAGGGTACGGGTTTTCCAGTCTGTCTCCTGCTGACTGTGAGCTCTTTCGGCCTGAAATGGTTTATTTTCCTTCAGTTAAGGAGAAATTCACCTCACGTTTCAAGCGTTCTCCCTCCTCTGCCCTTCAGACTCCTCTCCTGGGACGGTGCCGCTGTGCGCTGGCCCCTTGCAGCCTTTGACCCCCAGCTTCTCTGCACCTTCTCTGCCTTCTGACTTGGTGGGGGGGCTCGGTGCCCACAGCAGTGTCTTCCCTCTGTGCACGGCCTCCCTTATCTGGGGTGCTCAGGGGACCCCCGTGCAGCTCTTGTCTCCTCTGGCCTCCCCGCGTCCACGAGGACCGCAAGTGCGAAGAGAACCCAGGGCCTGGCTCCCGCAGGGTCCCAGAGTCACCTCTGGAAAGACAAGGCTGACACCAAACCAGGCTGTGGGTTGGCCCAGTGGCCAAGGGCAGGGGTAGCCACTGTCCAGGAAAGACCACTGCTCCCTGGAATGTGCCCGCTTGAGTCCCCCGGAGGAGGGAATCGTCCTTTACCTCCACCTCCGTCCACCCCCTCCTGCACGCCTGGTGGGACCAGCCCTGTGCAGCAGAGGGGTGGAGGCCACCCTGCCACGGAGCCAGGGGCCACGAGGAGCAGCTGCCACGCGGCGTGGAGCATGGGGCTTGCAGTGTGATGGTCTAAACTGAGGCGGAGCTCTCCACATCACAGAAGTCGAAGCTGGTCACAGTCTCGACTTCTTAGACCTGGTGACTTATGTGTCACAGAGAGCTGTCTGGAGGCTGGATGTCCCAGGTCACAGTGTTAGAAGATTCACTGTGGGAGGGCCCGAGGCTCACAGATGGCCGCCTGCTACGTGTCCACCTGGTGGCCAGTGTGAGGGGCTCCCTCAAGCACAACATCTGGAAAATATTCGCAGCAAAACTCACGGGATGTGGCCACAGCCCTGCTCAGAGGGAAGCTCCTAGCTTTAAACACAGGCCCAGCTGAAAAAGGAAAGTTTGAGAAAAAATGAATGAGCCGCCTGATTCCTAGAAAGAAAGAAAGAGAATCAAAGGAAAGTAAAAAGAGAATAAGGCAAGTAAAAAGGGAAAGTAGAGTCTGTAAAGAGTCGTTCTTTACAAAGAAGCAGATGAGAAAAAGAAAACTCTGCTTGTGTTACTCACGAAAGGAGGGAAGGTACAGCATGGCTCAGAGCCAACCAGGAAAAACAGCCACAAACAGAATGATAAGACGTTGCATATGAATAACCTGAAACATGTAAGGAATGAATGATTTTCTAAATAAAAAATCTCAGAAACTGAAACCAAAATAGTTCAGCAACATGGAAGGAAGCTGCGGCCCCAGGCCTGGCCCCGGTGCTTCCACAGTCTTTAAACACAAGAATGCCCAGACCCCCTAATGTGACTTAAAGTGACCAGGCTACTAAAAGGAAGGTGCCTACCTAATTCTGTCTGTGAAACCAGTCCATTACTGTCAAAACCCGGCAGAGAGACTTCAGAACAGAAAACTGACCCATTTCATGGCAATCCAAGAGGCAAGCTTCAATCCCAGACGCGGGCAGAACCCTGGCGTGCCTGCCCACAGCCCCACACTGTGGCTGACTTGTCTCCGTGTGGCTCTGCCCACGGGCCAGAGGCCTCGCACACTCCTAGGTGCAGGGGCTGGGCCACTTCTCTTCCACGTGGATTCCAGGACCCTGGTCCACACTTGGGACGGAACCTTGGGCTTTGCTGGGTGACAGGCCTTGTGCTCTAAGGAGCAGCTCCCGGATAGCATCCTGGGGCTGGGCACAGAGAGCCGGCTCCTGTCTAGGCGCCTGGGGAGGGCAGAGGGGCTGGAGATGTGTGAGCAGCAGACCCTGCCTAAGAGCTGTCCCCATATTCCCTGGGGAAACCTGACCCCAGTGTGACCGCTCACACTGGCCACCAGGTGGACACGCAGCAGGCGGCCATCTGTGCGCCTCGGGCTCTCCCACGGTGAATCTTCTAACACCGTGACCTGGGACGTCCAGCCTCCAGACAGCCCTCTGTGGCATATAAGTCACCCGGGCTAAGGTGTTTAGCCACAGCAGCCCAGAAATGCACAGACATGAAACTCCCTAAAAATCTCTGGAGGCCTTGGAGACCTTATGGGTTGATGAACACACCCCTAGGGCAAGAGGGTAGTACACCCCAATCCATGGAGAAAGATGCTCCTGTGCTGAGACCTCCTCTGCTGCCTGTTCGTCTGTGTCCTTCACCAGGCCCTGGACCACACATCAGGGATGCACCAGCATTTCTCTGAATTCTGAGAGCTATCCTAGCAGATTACGCAGCCTGAGGAGGGAGCCGTGAGAACCCTGGCTTGCAGGCAAGTCAGACAGAAGTGGATAACCTGGGCCCCACTACTTACAGCTAAAGTCTGATATGGGCTCAGTTTTGAGGGAGGGACTGAGCCCAGCCCCGTGGGGTCTGCACAAGCTCCGGTAACTAGAATTAGCATTGATTTTCAGGACACTCAAGTGTCAGAAAGTTGCAGAATAGATTGACATGGGGAAAACCCTACACATCTGGACTCAGATGTATTGATTATAAAGAAAAAAAATTTCCAAAAGGATGAAATGAAATTGTCATTATTTGCAGATAATGTGATCCAGAAAACCTAAGGGGCCACCAAAGAGCTTCCGGGAGCAAGAAGTTTGAGTGCTTAAGAGAAACAGTCACCAGAAGGTAGCAGTTCCCAAGAGCACACACTAGCCAGACAAACCCACAGTGAGAAAGGTAAAATGCAAGTTTGCCTATGAAGAAATCACACAGAAAACGCTGAGACCCTACTGAAAAGAGGTGAGCTGATGAAAAGCACAGCATGCCTTGGGGAAGGAAGAAGAAATATGCCAACAGACAAGTTTTCCCTGGGTCAAAACCACATGCCCAACATGCTCAGTCAGAAGAGCCACAGAAGTGCACGTGGAAAAACAGACGTCAGGACTAATCAGGTCACTTGTCACAAAGGAGGAGGAGCAAGACCTGCCAATCAGACTCAAGTACATTAAGACATCCTAATCATTAAAAAGAGTCCAGGAAAGAAGAGGAAGCAGATCAAAATTGTATGTTAAATGCTTCATTTAAAGTAATTTGGGGGAAATAAATCAGAGATCAGGGGAGCATAGGAAGGTGAATCCCTGACATCAAGATAAATTCCTGATGGAATAAACATTAATTTGTGGGAACATGTAACTTTACAAAACTAGAATGAAAAGTGGGGGCACATGCAGCAGGCTGGGGTGGAGATGGCAAGACCATGCCAGGCCATAGAGAAGACAGGTGGCCACTCAGGAGCTGACCTGGCTAGCACCAGGAACAAGATCCACAGACCAGCCCCACGTCGGGAAAGCACTTCAGCTCATACGAAGATGAAGGGAGCTCCCAGAAGTGCACAGAGCTCAAGCAGACCAGCAGCACACACAGGAGCAATCACCAGATGGACAAGACAGTTTTCAGAAAGAAAACAGGTCAGCAGCAGCCGGAGACAGGCTGGTGGGTGGGAGCTGGGTGGGAGCTGGGTGCCTCAGGTAAAGAAATGCAGATCTAGTCCTGGAGGCCTTTTTATTTGACCAGATTGTCCAAAGTTAACAGGTTGGGCGGTGTCCTGCAAGGTCAGCCTTGAGAGAATCAGCCCCTCTGGGCCATGGTGGTGTCTGGGGCAAAACGTTCAATTTTTCTGGAAGGCATTTTGTCAAAATTCATTTGCATTTAAGGTACTCTGCAGTCATCCCATGGCTATATGCACACAAAAAATTTGCCCAAATGAATAGGCAAGAATGTTTACCACAACACCGATGCAAAAACCGGAGACAGCAAAGGTGTGAAAGGAAATAGGTGGTACACTGGAGTGATTTCTTCAAAGTAGCTGAAAAAGAATGAGTCTCAACAGTGTGTGCTCATGTGGAAAGACAGCCAAGTTGGTTTGCTGAATTATTTAAAAGGGAATAAAAGAATGCACGTAATCTAATCCTGCTTTTTTCCTAAAAGGAATCATAATAATATTGACCTCATCTGGCACAGCTGAGGCAAGCTACTGTTGGGGTGCACAGTGGTTTTTTTTTCTCTTTTTTAAACATACTTTTTAGTTGAATACGGACTCAATGCCTTTATTTCTTTTTATGTGGTGCTAGGATCAAACCCAGTGCCTCACACTTGCAAGGCAAGTGCTCTGCCACTGAGCCACAACTCCAGCCCCGTGTTTCTCCTTTTTAATACACAATCTTCCTGTATATGTGGCTTGAATTTTCAGGCATGATTTTTTTTAAATGCCAGTAGAGTTGAGGGTGCAGATTAAGACCCAGTTTTATTTTGCTGTCTTTTTGCTTCATTCTGAAGTTACATACTGAAAGACCTGACGTTAAAAACAAGGCAGATTTTGCTTTTTAAATCGTGTCAGAGCTGAGACTTTAGATGAAACCACACAATGAAGAAACACTGAGGTCAAACCACGTGCGATCCTGCTCTACCCCTGGACCAACGTGCTGGGTCATTTCAAACGCTTCCCCCTGATAAAAATCATCCTAAAGAACCGGCCTCGGCCAGGCCCCCGGGCCGCCAGGAGGGGCTGCGTGCGGGGCCGCAACGGGCAGGTCCGAGGGGCAGCGCGGGCCGCGGGGGACGCCGCTGGAATCCCAGGGCAGGAGGCGTGTCCAGCGGCCGACCCTGCAGAACGCCCGGCAAACAGGAGAGGCTGCCGCCCGGCGCTGACCAGCTGCTGACCAGGCGCTGACCAGGAGAGCTCGGGAAGTCTCACCCCGGCGCCCGCGGGCCTCCTCCCGGGCCACGCCCCGAGGCCCCTCCCGAGGCCCCTCCCGAGGCCCCTGGTTGCCGAGACAACCTGGCTCTGTCACGGAGCGCGTTGCCATAGCAACTGGGCCTCGCAGCCTGCGGACGGTCCTGACCTGGTGGGGGCCTGCGGGGTTGCCGGTCGGGACTGTTTTCTTCCTGCCCCGCGGCCCGCTGCCGCCCGGGCGTTCCTGGTGCTCTCGGGTGCCTGGCCCTGCACCGCAGGGGCCTTGCCCACGCTGTGGTCACACTTTCTCTGGAGGTCTCCCTAAAGCCAGGGCCTCCCTCCTCCCTTCCTGCCCTCCTGCCCTCTCCACAATCCCCTGCACCCTCCTGGGCCCCGCCCCACCCACCCTCTTTTGCCCTGAGCATCTTTGCCTCTGAGGGTCTCAGGGTCGTGTGTATGTGTGTAAAGTGGGGACACTGCTGTTGTTGGGGCTTGGGGAAGAGTAAAACAGGTGACCCTGTGGGTACGAGTTGACCACAGGCCCTGCCTGAACCGGCTCTGCCTCCCAGGAGCTTGTGAGCTGGGTGGTCTCTACTCCTGCCAAGGCTCCCACTCCTCCACCGCAGAACGTGACATTGTTACCCAGGAGGTGGCTTCTGTCAGGAGTGTCCAGTGAACACTGGCTGTTAGGGTGTGTGGTGCCTGGCCAGGCCCTGTGGGTGGGTGGGAGCTGGGTGCCTCTCCCAGGGCTGGGCAGGGAAATGGAGGCCAAGGACTCAGATCCTGTGTTGGGTTTTCAATATACAGTCTCCTCTGGACGGTTGTTAGGAGGAACGGTGTGTGAATGTGTATGTGTGTGTGTGCGTGTGTGTGCGCGTGCGTGTGTGCGTGTGTGTGCGCTGTGTGTGTGTGTGCATGTGTGTGCGCATGTGTGCGCGTGTGCGTGCGTGCGTGTGCGTGTGCGCGTGTGCATGCGTGTGTGCGCGCGTGTGTGTGTGCGTGCGTGCGTGTGTGTGTGTGTGTGTGTGCGTGTGTGTGTGTGCTCATGCACTTATGGGAAAAAGCTCCCGAGGTCCCAGCTGCTCAGGAAACTCAGGACCGGCTCTCCCACTGCCCCTCCCCACGGCCACAGCTCCCGGCCCCTGCACTGTGGGCATCCCCGGCCCTGCCCCCCACACCCTCATCCCAGGTCACTGCAGTCACCAGAAGGCAGGAACCATGTCACCCTTCCATTTTGAGAGAGGGGAATGGCCTCCAGGAGAGAAGTGTCACTGGGCCCCAGACAGAAGCCAGAGCCTCGGGGGGCCCCCAGCTGAGGGTGGACTTGGCCACCCAGCTCCTGGCTTAGGAGACCACAGGCCTGCGCTGCCCGGGCAGCCCTCTGGGCTCTGCTCCCCGGTGCTGGACAGCCAGGTGCTGACTCAGTGTCTGGCCAGAAGCAGCTGGCCGTCAGGAGGTGGGGGCTGTCAGAGCCCGCTGTGGTGTGGGACACAGTTCCTCCAGGACCAGCATGGAGGTGTCTGACCACTGACCGTCCAGTCAAAGCCCACAGCTGTCTCTGTGAGACTCCCGCCTTGCTGACAGCTCTTAACCCCACACTCGTCTCCCTCCAGACCCCTGGCCCTCCTCTGTCTATCCACACATCCCTTCATGCCCAGCTCCGGTGTTTGGGGGTAAGGGCTTGGGGCTGGGAAGGGCGTCCCTGGTGCATGACATGTGGTCCTTCATAGGGGGACATCTCTGCCACCACCCCCCCACAACATGGCTTGGCTTCTGTGATTCTGCACACAGAGCAGGAATGGGGCCCAGGAAGGACGGAGCTGGATGGGAGGTGCTGCTGGCAGCAGCAGCAGAGGGGTACCAGCCCGCGCAGGGCAGCGTGGCAGGCTCCTGCAGACAGGCGGTGGAGCGGCCAGTCCCAGCCCAGCCCCAGCCCCTGGCCCCCCGGCCCCTCCTTTCTGGGGGGTTGCAGCGCGCGTGGGGGCTCTGTTTCCAGAGCCATATGCTGCCTTCCAGCACTGGGGCTGCCCCTGTCTTGGTGGCTCTCAACCTGCCATGTCTGCAGAGCCCACTTAGGAGTGTCAGAGTCACCTGGTAGAACCCTGACACAGGGATGCTGATGTCATTTAATTAGGCATAGAGTCCCCCACATATGAATGAGGTATTCAGAGAGGCAGTTAGGCAGGTCATTGTTTTCTGAGTCCAAGGCAGTAACCAGAGAGGCATAGTCAAGAAAAATATAAAGCCCAGCACATTGGAAGTTAAAGACTTACTGGGTTAAATGAAATCATACCATTTAGACTTGCACGAAAATGAGAATGTTGTGTACCAATCCCAGAGGGACACAGCCCCTGTGGTGAGGGGAGCAGTCAGGTTGTAAGTGCCTGGATAAGAATTCAGGAAGGATCAGAAGTGCTGGACATGGACACTCAAGTCTAGGACAAGAGTGGCAGCGACCTCAAGGCTCAGCAGAGGGGAGTAAGGAGTTAGAAAAAGCTCACCTCCTGGAATAGGGCATGGACTCAGCTCAGAGACAAGGACTGGCCCTTAAAAAAGAGGACAGTCAAGGAAGGAGACACTCACGATGGACATCAAAAGTGAACTCTGAACAAAACTGATGGTTTTCTAATAAACACTGATGGCCAGGCTTCTCACAAGCAGAGGGAGAGGCTGAGAGGAGACGGTGCAGAGGCTCCTGGCCTCCTACAGGTGCAGGCTAAGGCCCGGTCACTCATGGGCCAGCTCCTTGGCTCCTGCAGTTTTTATAGTGTTCTGAAACAGAAAAACTACAAGACAGTAAAACTCCTGAATCTGTTCTTGGAGGGTAACGATAACCCAGAATCAGACACTGCCTCCGTTGTGGCCAGACCCGGGCACGACCCGCTTTCCTTTCAGCATTTATATGTTTCTAAGCCTCTTTTCCTTCTTCTCTTCTTCCAGGGGCAGAGACCATGCCTACAACTTCAGAGATGCACACCCAGAACCAGGAGATGCCAGGCCTACAGACCGGGATTCAAGCAGGGAGCGAGGAGTACAGCCCACATAACAGACAGGCTCCCTTGGACACGGCCTGCGGAGGCACAGCGACCCACGATTTCAGTTCTCAGCTTTCTGCCCATGATCTGCTGTTGAGCACTGGGTTAATCTGGGCTCAGCTCACCAAGGATAGTGGAGGTGCCCACTACCACCCCCAAGGGTCATATATGGGTCAAGTTCAGCACCTTGTGCATGTGGGGGCTGCAGGAAACTTGGGGGCAGAGTCAGCAGCCCCTGAGCCTGGTCACTGGTGGACACATGGCTTGGAAAGCAGCTTGGTGAGGTGGGAGACCTTGGTGGGGACCAGGCCCGCCCTGCTATTTCAGGGGGTGGAGAGAGGCTGGTGGTGGGAAGTCCTGGTGTTCTGCAGCACAGGGCATGACTGCTGAGAGCTGGCAGAGTCTGAAGACCTCACCACAGAGACACGTTCACTGTCAAAGGAGCGGAAAGTGCCGACTACCAGGATGTGCTCACCACACACGTCGTGGGCAACACCAAACCGTCACAGTGTGCTCCACAAAAGTACCACACTGTGAGCCAATAAACAAAGTGCCTGGTATAAAAATCCTGGGTGAGAAACATCTGATGAATGAATGAGTGAATCAGTGAATGAACAACTCCATCTATTTCCAATAAAGTTAAAACAAAACTGGTTTGCTTTTTTTTTTTTTTGGTTGCAATTTCTGTTCATTTCCATTGCTCCTATTCAATGTAAAGACAAGAAAAACATACTACATCTAAATATTGGGAAGAAAGAAACATAATTACTATCTTTAGGAGAAATATTTTTACAACTTAGAAAAATTGACTTTAGTAAAGTGAGCAAATACCAGATCAACAACAACAACAAATACATATCAGCAATAAACCTGAGAAAATTCAAGGATCTGGAGAGGAAATGGGAAGACCTGGGCCAAGAATCAGCAGAGAATGTGAGGAGGCAGGTGGCCTTGGATCTGTGAGCATCCTGGCTGCTGGCCCCGGGCTGGTCCCCAGGACCTTAGGGACTATGGAAGGAAGGTGTGCTTGCCCAAGCCCGCCCCTGCACTTCAGGCCCAGAGGGGACAGGATCGGGTGTCCTCGCAGTGCCCAGCCCAGAATGGATGAGGCAGCGTGTGTCCCTGCGCCAGGCACCAGGCGGTGGAGCGGACCACCCCAAACAGGGCTGGGGCGAGGCGGTGGGCTTCCCACCACCACCCTGCACCGCTGCAGACCTGGCTCCAGGTACACTACGGTCAAGACGCAAGTCCCCCTGTCCGCGGGTTGTCTCGGGAGGGGTGGCTCAGGAAGCTTCCCGGTGTCCTCGGGCATTCTTGGCACTGGTCCTTGTCGCGGTATCACTTAGCGGGGCGAGAGGCCCAGGTGCGCCCTTTGGCCAGCTTCCACGCCTGGCCCAGTAGGCCCCTCGCGTGCCCCTCCCCGGCGTCCCTCCGTGCGGACTCAGTGGACCTGAGGTCCTCGCTGGGCGCCCTGCGGAGCGCTCCCCGCTGCTGAGCGGGATCCTCCTGGCCTTCCCTGCGCCCTTCTGGAGCATTGCGTTTCCAACTGAGCACCGCGCGCGAAGCTTCGGGTGTATATCCTTATTTTTATTTTATTTGTATTTTAAAGAGAGAGTTTTAATATTTATTTTTTAGTTCTCGGCGGACACAACATCTTTGTTGGTATGTGGTGCTGAGGATCGAACCCGGGCCGCACGCATGCCAGGCGAGCGCGCTACCGCTTGAGCCACATTCCCAGCCCCTCGGGGTGGATGTTTTTAATTTCTCTTGAGTAAATACTTAGGAGGGGACTCCTGGGTCGCAGGTGCTCAGCCCGATTGGGTCACATTTTAAGAAGCTGCAGTGCCTGGGGTGGAGTTGGGGCTCAGGGGCAGAGCGCTCACCCTGCATATGTGAGGCCCTGGGCTCCATCCTTAGAACCACATAAAAATAACTAAACAAAAATAAAGACATGGTGTCCATGTCTAAATAAAAAACCATCAAGAAAAAACAGCTGCAGCCCCACCGCCTGCCAAGAGGTCTCCGTGCTCCCCGTCCTCACCCACAAGGGACATGGATAGCCACTCTAGAGGTGAACTTCCTGGACGATTAACCATGTGAAGAGCCTGTCCATGTGCTGACCGGATCTTTGCGGGTGTGTGTGTGAGAGAGAGAGAGAGAGAGAAATAGATATGCATCTGCTCAACTTTTTGCCCATTAAAAAAAACATAAAGATCCAGGTCAGTGGCTCACGCCTGTAATCCCACGCTTGGGAGGCTGAGGCAGGAGGATCATGAGTTGCCAGCCTTAGCAACAGCCAGGCGCTAAGCAACTCAGTGAGGCGTCTCTAAATAGAGTACAAAATAGGGCTGGAAGATCAGACGCTCTTCGAGTTGCAACATTCTTGTGTGTCCTGTGTGGCTCCGGACATGCTATGGCCATCTTCTTCCAGCTGTGATTTGCTTATTTATGCTCTTCATAATGATTTTCATGAGCAAGTTTTCAGTTTTGCTGAAATGCAACTTTTTTCTTTTATGGTTAGTGCTCTTTTGTGTCCTAAGACACAGCGTGAGCTGAGGTCCCGGCAGAGCAGCCTCACTGAAGACCTGCCCATGCGTGAGGTCTGTGGTTGACCAGCCCTCTTTCTTTTTGCCAATGTCACACTGTCTTGATTATCACTGTTACTGACACCATTTTATATCTTTGAAAAACTAGGATCTTGGGGCTGGGTTGTAGCTCAATGGCAGAGCACTTGCTTAGCACATGTGAGGCACTGGGTTTGATCCTCAGCACCATGTAAAAAATAAATAAATAAAATAAAGGTGAAAAACAACAGGGTCTGAAGAAAAAGGAAAATATTAACATTGTTAAGTCTGGTAATGAGTGCATAAATTTTGAAAGGTTTCAAAATATGTTAAAATTAATTAAACATGGAATGGAAGACAGATTCCAGTCATGCCAGCCACAGAATTCTAAAAGTTATAATAAATTTGACAATAAATAAGTAAGTCTTTATTAAAAACTCTAAAATGCTATTGACATAGAATCAACCTGAGTAACTGGGAGGTATAGAAGGGGGAGGAAAACAGTAAATTTAGTGCAATTCTATAAAAATAGTAAGAGTGAATTTTAGGAACTTGAGATAATGCTGAAGTCAGTGAAGGTGAAACCCACAAGAGTGGACAGAGAGGGGCAATGAAGCAAGGACGAGAGGTGGCCAGATGGCCTGGCCGGTGGCAAAGCGACCTGCAAGAACTGAGTGAGTCAGTGCAGCAAAGGGAACAGCAGAGAATTCCCACAGAAGGAGCAGAAGACCTCGAGCGAGCCCTGGCCCAGGACGGAGCACTCCAAGCTCGGGGACCCCACTGCCCTCCACACTGCGCTGGCTGGACGGGACCAACAGGGCCGGGTGAGCTCCAGACAGATCAGCCCTCCAACCAGAGCTGAGACCTCCGACTCGGTGTCTTGATCCACCCTCGGTTGCCACACAGGAGAGAACTCATAAGCAAAGAGGTATTCTTGGCCCACGGCTCTGACCCTGGTGCTTCCGTGAGGGCCTCGTGCAGCTTCAGCTCACGGCAGGAAGAGGAGGGTGGTGAAGGCCAGCTTCAGCTGCCCGGGCCTCTGCCCCCTCCCTGGACACGGGGAACAGACCCACCAGAGCTCCCCGAGGCAGCTGAGGCGGGACACCAGGGCCAGCCGTCTGGGGTCTCTGGTGCTCACATTGGGGCCCTGGCCAGCACGCCTTCCCCCCTGGCAGGCAGTGTGGTGGCTCTGGGAAGGACCACTGTGCTGAGCTGTGGTCTCCCTGTCTCCCCCTACCCCTCGGTGGGCCAGTCCTGAGGTAGGAGGGCCTGAGTGGCTTTCCCTGATAGGACCTGGGGCTGCTGCCTGGTCAGGCAGGGGTACCCCTGGGTCCTGCCCCAGCGCCACCTGACCCTCGTTGTGTGGCTCTGGCAGAGCTCCCTCTCTCTGGCCTCGGTTTCCCTGTGTGTAAGCTGGGAGCCGGTCTAGTCCACGACCTCTGAAGTCCCCTCAGTAGATCCAGCCCCACCAAGAGGACTCGGTGCCCATCCACCCAGAATGCAGTCTCACGGGTCAGAAGATGACATTGCAAAACAGAATTGGCAGCAGCGGTAGCTGAAATTAAATCTTTTCTTAGATCTTGGCAGAGGAGAGACTGACCTTGGGGGAGGGTGTTTGGGGATCGATTCCTGTTTCACTGTGGCTCGGGAGGGCTGAGGGTGCTGACCGCCAGGTCCCCCTGGGTGAGTCACAGGCTGTGGGGGTCGGGTAGGGTATAAAGGGGGACACATGGAGGGCGTCAGGAGCAGGCATGGGCAGGCAGTGACAGGGGAGAGCCAGAAAGACCCTGCAGGCCAGGGCCCAGGGACCCTGTGGTGGGAGCCCCCAGCTCAGAGGCCTCAGGCAGACCCTGGGGCCGTGTCTGAGGGAAAGGTGAGCCCAGGATTCTCCAGACCTGCAGGAAGGGGACCCTGGGCCCTGATTCAGGGAGTGTCCCCCAGGAGCCAGCACCAGGCTGCACCTGGGGGCCATCCCTGCTGGGCCAGGCTGGCCTTCCAGATAGCCCTCCCAAGGGAGGGTCCTGGAGGAGGGACAGTCACAGGGCACAGGCTTCCCCCAGGGCTGGGCACCCAGTCAACACACACACTAGGGTCCAGAGCCTGGCAGCCCGAGGTCAGTGACACCCAGCCCGTCCTGCAGGCCAGCTTGATCAGCGGCCCTGGGACCACCCACAGGGGAAGCCCTTGGAAGGCTGCTGCCTGCCTGTGCCACTTGTCCTCATCTGTAGGTGGAGGGGCTGGCCAAGGCCGGGTCCTGGGGACATCAAGACACCGAGAAGCAGCCCTGCTGGTGGCACCATGTTCTGGTCCCAGTGCCGCAGAGGAGCTCACAGCAGGGACAGCCAGCAGCTAGAGGCTGCCCAGCCATGTGGCAGGGCCCGTAGCAGGGCGGTGGGCACCAGCAGCCGGGCAGCAGCCAGGTGCCTGGGCGTGGACCCTGCTGGGAGGCCTCTCCCTGCTCCTGAAGGAGGGTGAGACGGGGAACGGGGTCAGGGGCTCTGGGAGCATCGGGGCTGGGCAGATGAGGCGGCAAGGCCAGGCCGGGGGCACCAGGACCTGAAAGAACTCAGCCTCCAGTAAGCCTGGGTCTCCCAAGTCAACCTGGACTCTGGGTCAGGTGGAAACACGAGCCCCGACAGCACCCGGAAGCCTGGAGCCCCTCTGTCCTCCTGGCTAAGTGCAGACTTCCCCATCAGGGCTGGCCTCCTGACGGCACGCCCTGCTCTGTGTCCACCGACTCCAGAGGCAGCTTCACCCAGGAGTGACAGCCATATGACCACAGGACCCTCTGGACCTGGCACCCACCTGTGCTCCTGATGCCTCTCACGTCCTTCTGCCACCAGGCTCAGAATTCCTTGAGCCAGAGGGTCATGTCCAGCTGGTGGCCGGGCAGCACACTCACAGAGGGACTGTAGGGTCTCGTTCGCAGGGCACAGCGAGGACAGGGCAGGGGCTGATCTTCCCCTCCCCCACAGCCTTCTTGTGAAGAGCCAGGACACTCTTCTGAGGGAGGGGCATGAAGTGCACGGTGTGGCCACTGGGTGTCGCTGTTTCCCTGGGGACTGCCCTCTCCCCTTGCCTCCGCGGCG